ACAAAGGGTGGTTCCGTGTGAATTGATCCCACAATACCTAGCAAAGCAGCCAGCAACCCAGCCTGCAGTTTCGTGTTTACTAGTTGTTTATTATTTGTGACTAAAAATATAGTATTTGTTTTGGTTTGGTACGTACAAGTCAGTACCACTCCACCCCTTCAACAAAAACCGAGAGCGATACTATGATAGGTAGTTAACTATTTATATTTTTCGCATGTCACAATTTTATATGAACACCGTCAAAGCCGGATATTCATATTCAACGACCGAATGTAAATAAAACTATATGACTACACGTGATATCACTTGCATATTTCATAAACTGTGCAATTCAAATTCACTGCGGGCACAATCCAGCCCTGAAATAAACATAAAAATATGCTTATGCACTGTTTGACTCCAGTTCAACATTGAAAGCCATTTGAACGCAAGCGATGTTGAATTTTAAACTTCGTAGTTCAAAGTTTGGTTTTGCTTGCGTATTTTCTTTGCCGAAGCTTTCGACAAATCCCTTTCGGAAGCGTTGTAAAATTTTAGGCCCTGAAAACAGCGTTTTACCTACATAGATACGATTGTATAGTTTTGTAGTTTTGTATACCTTCGTTGATCTTAAATATCGTCGGTTCGTTTTCAGACCGCGTAAAGTGATATTGCGGTTTTTAAATTAGAAATTTTGATATAATTAGACGTGCAGAAAAATTACCTGATGGTAAGCAATTGGAGCTACCATTGCATACCCGCAGTACCAGAGGCATTACGAGTGCGTTGCCGGTCTTTTGGAGATTAGGGTAACGGAGATTTAGAGATTGGGTAAGGGGATGAAAAATGTTTTTATAATAACTATTGTGAGACATACTAAATTAACTAAAAATCGCGGGCTACTGACGTCTATATTGAGAAAAGCTCTACTAGTTCCGAACCACAGATGAAAGATATTGGGCTTCCGATAAACACTCACACGGCGAAAAACAATGCTGGATGAAGTTGGAAATAGCTACCGAATGGCTTAATTTTTACTAAACTTTATGTCGGTTTCACAATGTCTGGACAGTCACCATCTGCCAGATAAGTTTAAATAAATATTTAATTTGTATGAGCTATATGTTACATACATTTATTGTGAATTTATGTGCAGGAAGTCAAGTAAGCGCTTATAGCAAAATCTCAGTTTACTCCATCTTGCGAACCAATGATTTACCTAGTTTATATATTTGGCTAATTTTAATTGAATTAAAGGTCTGAATAATTAAGTGATGAGGTTATGGATTCTCAAAGGGTTATCCCTTTTTGTCCTTTAAAATTAGATCCCAGTGGTATAAAATATATCTTCATTTATGAATTTGAAATTATTAATTTGATATCCTTTTACGATGTGAAATATAAAGACGTGGGAAGTAAACTAGTCTGAAAATGTATCTTTTTAAATATAACTTGTATACGAATTATTGAAAGTGAATTAAATTATTGTAAACTTATTAAATGGAACAACCCAGTAATAAGAAAAGAAAATATCTACATATATGTATATGTAGATATTTTTTTTTATTTACATATAAAGATATGTACTTATATACAGATATCTATATATATAGATATGTAGATATTTTCTTTTTTTTATGCGTGCTTTTGTACAACGTTAGCTACCCGCCCCGTATTCGCACGTGTGCAATGCAGAAACAAAATTTCTCCACTATTAAATAGAACTTACTATACATATAAGCCTTCTTCTTCAATCATTATATCCATTAAAAAAAACTACATAAACATCCGTTTTGTACTTTTAAAGATTAACGCATATACAATTATAAAGGAACAGAGAGTGACTGTGTTTTACACTCTGTAGTGATTGAGTTCATCCGCTGTCTTCCTGGCCCAGCATAGTTTGTGGTGCGGCAAAGGGACTGTTACATCGAGTGCGGTTCGCCACCACCCTATTTAGCATTCAGCTGTGCTATGCGAAGGTCCACGAAAAAATCTACATTTTTAATACCGACCGCATCTTTAGCGCGAAATGTTACACTCATAATTTGAATCTAAGTGCCTACAGATGCTGTTTAAAGTTTAATTTTTAACCAACTTCATGAACGTTATTTATCTTTTAAGGAGTTTATAGGGGCTGTTTGTCATTTGGGTTTTTGTGAGTCGAGTTATGATTGCCTAACGACTGACATGTAGTTTAGTTCTAGTTTAATTAAATATGTATTCACCATGTCACCAGAAGTTTATATTACTTAATATAATAATAATAATTTATTTGTCAGATAATAAAATCCATTCAATTATTGTTAGTAAAGACATACACAACTTACTAGAGTTAGTACAAATACACCTCAATCAAATTAAGAAATAAATTCAATAAATAGGTCAATAATAATTATTAAGTCACATAATAATATAACAAACACACAACACACACTTAACACTACTTTTGGGCACGGTTGGAAGATAAAACTTGCGTGCTCGTCCAGTGATTTAAAATACTGACGAGTTTTCTTTTTCACAAAATAGTCTTTTGCGTATCGCGGCGACAGTAAATTACACTTTTTGATGGAGTCTATTAACGTAAGAATCAATGTTTACCTGGAATTAAGAAGTAAGTCTAGCTTCTCCACAACTCTTCATCAAAATAAAAAACAACTTAAGATAATTAGATATTGCATTGGTTGCGGGTTAGTGATTGTGGGGCAAGCGCAATGAGGTACCCCGGCATCGACCTGGAGCCGGAGAAGGAACGGGAGGGCTTTAAGTCATTTAGTCACTAAGAGTCTGACACTTCTCACCATACCCTATTAGTCAGTAAGATTCTGACCAGCCATACCCGCCATACCCCGGGTAAGAAAACCCCTTTGAGATGATTTTCTCTCTTTAAAATAAAGTAACTAGATATTATTTAATTTGTCCATTGATGTAGGAAGCATTTATAAATATTTATGTTCCACCATTTTAAATACTCAAGTACTATATGCAGTTTTACTTAAAGTCGGTTAATAACAAGTCGTGTCGTCTTCACTCACACGTGGCTACGTTGTTTTAGTTCAACTTTTTGCTCTGCACTAATTAATTATCCGTAAGAGTTGGCTGTTTCTGATAGGCACAAAGATACTTTGTCCTGATAAGTACAAAGAAATTGCTGGCTACATTTGTAGAGTGTGTTTTGAAAGTGAATTACCTACTTATGTTGTTGTTTTTTTAAAAAATATTTGCTTCTGTTAGATCAAAAATGGTAAATAATGGAAAACGCGGCCTGGAGGAGGAGAACTGGGGGGTTTAAGTCAGTAAGAGTCTGACACTCCCTCTCGCCATACCCTGGACGAGAGAAGTCGAATTTGATGATTTTCTCTCCTCAAAAAAGACTGTACGGGATGGTTCTTGGAAGAGCGTTTGGAACGCATCGCGACTTGGTTACGTTCTGGTCATTCAAATTGATGATTAGTAAAGGTATGACGAGGTAAGTTCTTTAACGATGAGGCTGGCGCAGCAGGTTACAGTAATCACAACTCCTATGCTCTTTCGTGACGTAAAAGTAGTCGACTTTTACGTCACGTTACGGACGTGCCCAGCGCACGAACTGGCCACCTCCTTAAATCAGGCACCTACACTTAAGCCCTGTATAGGGCCACGGATTGCACGATTCCCAATTACAACCTCCGGCTGGAAGCGTTACATTGGGAAGGGCCCGCTTGAGCGCAGTCCCAGACCGTTCTAACTTATGGGAGAGCCAAGCTTCGGCACGAATGTGTCGGTTCGACCGGAGTGATACCACGGCCTCACAGAATACCGGCGTGAAACAACCCACAGCATTGTTTTCGCCGTATGAGTGAGGTTATCGTAGGCCCAATCCCTTCCCTTCTCCTATCCCTTCCCTGTCCTTGCTGATGCCGGCAACGCACTCGTAACTCCTTTGGTATTACGAGTGCCCATGGGCGGCGCCGATTGCTTACCATCAGGTAATCCTTCCTCGATTGCCGATTTACACCATAAAAAAAACTTGGCAGCCAAATAACCATCGACTGTCGATGATTGAGGACGAGACCTTACTTCATCGCCAATGTTAACCTCTCCTGTCGTTATTTGGGTAACCTCCTTACGGTCATAATTAGCAGTGGCGAAGCGGACTATTGACAATAATGATGAATGATAAACGTTCTTCCAATTGTACTAGCATAGGTGAACTAATAAATTTTCAAAAAGCTACTAACCTCGATTATATTACCTGCTCATAAATTCTAGACATAAATCCAGTATCCTCTCTTCCTCCATATTTAACATGCCGTTTCGATAGCAAAATTGAAACTAAATATTTGCGATGGAAATTGAATATGGTAACGATGACCATTCATCATTGTCTCGCAAATTCATTTCATATTAAACGGACGGACACCACATTTTAATCTTTGTTTGTGTATGCGTCTGCATCAAGTTGAGGATATTTCACATCAACTTTAAAATACAACATATTAAAAAAAGTTTCAGGGAAGTTAGTATCGGTAGATTGTACTTTAAAACCTGCTTGGTCACAAGCTGGTCTGCTTGTGACCATTGTAGGTGTAACCCCGGCGAAACGCCAAGCAAATAAAAAAGGTTAAACAGTAAAGTATTATTATTGGTAGGTTTTTACCAATAAGGGTCATAAATTAATTAGTTCCTTAAATAAATTTTATTGTATTTTACATAACTTATACACATAAGTTTATAAATAATACCGATCAAACCTTGTGTTGTCAACGAAAGCTGTTTCTGTTGCTTTGACGTATTTGTCTCTTAGTTTAAATAACTCCTTTAAAGGTTAAAGGTATCATTCCTTCACAGCTTCATATCTTATTCTCATATCAATAAATGAACGCAACAACCAGAATCGAAAGTGTGAATAGCCCAATGCGTTTTTAAGTCACCTTGTAATCATTACAATGATATTTGCAGGTATCATATGATTTTCACCATAAAGACAAATGTATAAAAGAAACTATTTCCTGATATATGTATATAGCTGATCTTTACCATAATATTACGAACTCTTTTCATTATTTACGTGTTATTGCATATTGTTGCTTCCATAACTTATTTATAATGACCTCAAAAAGGCTCCTATAAGCGTGTCGGTATTCATTGGACATTAATACATATACGATGGGGTTAATACAAGTCCCCAAATATCCTAAGAGATGGGCAAATACATTAGCGTAAGGTTCAGACTTATACTCCTTGTATACAAATCTAGTCACCATCAATGGTAAATGGGTTAAACTGTAAGATAACAATATCGCAGCAATCATTGCAAACAGCCTTTTGTCTCTACTAGTCGGTGCTTTTGGTCTTATTTCTTTTCTAGTCAGTCTAAATGGTGCCTTGAAGTATTTGTCAAAAGTTTTATGATCGCAAGGCGTAGTATTGGCACTGCTAGGCGGTGTCTTATCATCGTCAGTTGTGCTATTTGCAGGACTCGCTGGATCGAAGCTGATAAGCGTCTTCCCATCTGATGACGTTTCAGATTGAGTGTGTGTTAGAGGTAAATGTGTCGGGCGTATTGGTCTAGGATTTTGTGCCCGTACTTTCCTTGCAGTTTTCTTAACCACCCACCAAATTCTAGCGTAACATATAGCTATAGTGAGGTAAGGTCCCACAAAGGCAATACACATAAAGAATTTCTTCGGAGAGTTCCCATTTTCATCCTGAATCATGGTGCAGAATCCTCCATTGGGTTCCAAATCAAATCGACCCCAAGCTCCAAAGTAAGAAGGCAAAAAAAGTACTAAGGCAAACATCCAGATGAGTATCAACTTCATTGTGATATTTCTTCTTTTATAAATCCTGAAACAAAGATATAAATCGTTACAAAATGGTTATTCTACTTATAATACTATATAGATTTATTTATTTATAATTATGGTTTATTTGCAATCACTGAAACTAATATGAATGATCAGACAAAACAACAAAGGAAGCATTCTTAAGTGTAGGCATCACCTACAGGCAATTTTTTAGAAGTTTTTAGAAGTCATATTACTGCTTCTGCCTTGGGTGGGGCGAGAAGGAAAGTCAGACAGACTCTTACTGACTAAAAACCGTCCCGTTTCTTAACGTTCTCTGGGCCAGGGACGGTACATAATTGTGTTTTATTTCTCTATATATTTCTCTATACCTATATATACATTATGTGTTTATTTCCATTACATACCTAGGGTACCAGAGCGGGTGACAAACAATGATGTATCTGTTAATAGTGATGGCCAGGACTGTGAATATGGACACGGCATTTAAAGTGAACTTGCAATAAGCGTATACACCACACATGATCCATCCGTGGGTCCATTGTTTCTTCCAGAATGTTATCGCTGTCATTGGCAGCACTAGGCTGCCGAATATCACATCACTTATGTGGAGATTTATTATGAATATTGCTGTTGCATTCCGGACCTGCAATCAAAAATGTTATTATTATTATTTGTATGTTCGATTCCACTCACGGGACCACAGGGTCCCGGACTTTTGGAAGGCTCACTAGGAGCCGAAGCCAACTGGCAGAGGCCCGTTGAACAACTTTAATTTAGTATGTGTTATTATTATTATATTATTAAATAGCGAGCCACCCCAGCTTCGCAAAGTTGCAGTGCTTATACCTAATTTCTCCACAATTTAATTGACGTTGTTATACATAAAAACCTTGCTCTTTATTCACACTATCTATTAAAAATCGCGTCAAAATTGGTTGCTTAGTTTTAAAGATTTAAGCATACATAAGGATATAGGGACAGAGGAAGCGACTTTGTTCTAAAGTATGTAGAGAGGATACATCGTTTTTGTCCTGATACAAATACCAACGTTATTCAGAAATTATAGAAAAGAAAACTTGTGTTGAGTTGTAAAGAGGTGACTCCAATTTGCCTGATTACAAGGAAGATAGGAACTATGATAAAACTACCTCATCAAGGGTTGACTAACTTAGTGAAACATTTGCAAGTTGGATGAAAAAAATCGTCAAGAAAATAGTTTCTTTTGAACATTGGTCTTATTCCAGAGAGAATAGTAATATCCTCTTTTTATGCGATTGGCTAACGAGCAGACCTGATAGTAAGCGATAAGTGTCGTCCATAGACAGCCGCAAATCATGAGTAAGATTTGAGGATTGGAGATTAATAGAAAACAAATCGCATGTTCTCTTTCACACCGGTTTTCTGTTAGGCCTCTTTTCTTATATCAAGACAGGATTGGTTTCTAGATATATCGACTCCACTTTTTAACGACCGATAAATATATGCCCATCTACTTTAGTGCCACAGATGTACTTCTGATATATTTTTTTAAAATTTCCTTTACATTTTAGGGATACTACTCGTTACGTTTACGTGTTAAGTTATATCTTAGGAATAAAATTCTGTCTCTCCTAATTAGTTTTTAAGGGATGATCTTTCAATAGTTAGATAAAAGTTACCTGGGGAACAATTATGATTTATTCCTCATATAACAATTATCTGTCTGTTGAAAAAACAGCTCTAAAGGTCTTGAATTTGACTGGTTGTCGAATACCATATTGTGCATTGTGAAGGAAGATAGATGTCTTGTAAATGACGGCGACGACGAATCTAATCAAACGACTTTTTAAATAATCAAGGGTGTATTGTGTAATAGTAAAAAAATGTACATACCTTTCTACACCTAGCGAGTGCTATGATAGTAGTTAGATTGCCAAGAATGCCCATGACCATGAAGAGCCCGCAGCACAAAGAAGCGAAGGTAAGCAGTGCATCAGAATAACACCTGAATAGTCTAACTGATGCTAATTCCTCACTTGACGAATACGACATTCCATAATTGGACTTGCTATAGTCACACGCCACCATTTTGCACTTTTACACGACCTCTTTGATTGTTAAAGATCTCCTTGTAATTACCGAACACTTTGATGAAACTGTTTTATTGATTTTTGTTACAATTTTGGTTCATAAACGGTCTGTGCGCTGTAACTATAAAAGTTCTAATGGTATTTTCAGTAGTCATTGTGCATCTTTGAAGTTGTTGTGTTTCAACAAGCGTAAATAATTCGTTTTCCCTATGCGTCACACGCGGTAAGAAGATAACGCTAACGCACATAATGTTTATTTTATAATTAAATTACCAATAAATAATTTTACATTTAAACGGATTCAACACATCGTGTCTATATTTAAATATTTGCTCACTTGTTTTGTAATTTAAAGTTGAATTTACTAAGAATCTTATAGACATATACCTACACACATATATGTATATATCTATATATTATAATATGTAGGAATGTACCCTATAGGTATACCTTTACATATACCTATATTGGAAAACTATTACTTACATATAAAGTTTGTTGTCTCGCAATCGTTAAATATCCCTGGGTGTAGAATTGAAGTTTAGACAACAAAGGTCTACTTAAAGAGTAAGTCTATGAACCACATGTAGCGTCGGGTCTTCTTACCGTCGTCGGATAAAATGCGATCTCTTTAAGTCCCCAATCATAAACTATGAACAACTTACAAAAAGCTGGCAACGCACTTGATATTGCGGTTGTCCAAACGACAGTATATTTTTTTTAATTTGATTTTGATTTTCTGCGGTGTCTTGGATCAGTCAGCCACCGAGACCCAAAACAGAAATTTGTCTATCACGCAAAGTGTTGTTCCGTGCGATACGAGCCAAAGCACCTAGTTGCCCAGCCACTATGTCAACCGTGTAGGTGGTTACTACCAGGTAGCACCAGCCAGTTTGCCACCGCATCTCATAAAAAAACTTCATTACGTTATTCATATAAGTATATAAGACAAATTACAGGATTCATAATTTACTAGAATTGCTTTTGGTATAGATATGTCAATTTAACAGAATTACAAGTCAGTAAGCCAAAGAACAATAGTTCAATGACGCTTTGCAACGGTTATGAAATCGTTTCCCTATAATATGAGTGTACATATGTATATATAAGTTAATAACTTAAATACTAATGAATCGCGTCAATTAAATGCATGATGTCATAGTTGCATTTCTCTGTAGGTACGAGTTTTAGGACATAGAGAGTTAACTTTTTTAAGGGAGGAAAAGGGACGGTCTTCAACAATTGCACTATAAGCAAGGATAGGCCCCCAGCCAAAGGTGCGTTATCACGCACGAATGGGTCGGCTTGACCGAAGTGATAACACGGTTTCACAAAAGAACCGGCGTGAACCAACCACAGTGTTGTGTTTCACCGTGTGAGTGAGTTTACCAGTGGCCCAATCTATGTTTGATTCTGTATCCCAATCTGATTACATAGAGGTTACTGTAATCAGATTGGGATCAGAGGATGTTAATCTTCTTTTACACGATTACCCACTTTTTTATTTTTTTTTTTTTTTTTTTTGTTTTTTTTTTTGGTGTCGGGTTGGAAAATCCTCATGGAGACCCATCGCCCTCGGGGAAGGACGAAGGGTACTGTCAGACTCTTACTGACTAAAAACCAACCCGGTGTTCCTCCAATAACCCATGTGTCGGAGGGGCGGGTATCGCCGAAGCATTCGTCGCAACCCCCCGACGGGTTTTGGCCCGCCAGATGATAAGGCGGGCCCCGTCACCCACTGCGGCCGTCACCCCGACCGCAGGACTCCACTATGAGGCGCGCGCGGAACACGGCGCCGCCGCCTCGAGGCCTGCTGCTGGTCAGACGACAAGACGCCCCGAGTCTGTCGTCCACAGGCCGCGCCCTACGGTGGCCGCAGGTCGGCCACCCTACGACGTCTAGTGCGTCTGCTGCGGGAGGGGAGAGAGGAGGCAGCCTCTCTCTCCCTTTCCGCCGCCTCCTTTGCGAGCATCACGGCCTCGCAGAAGGTAGCGACGGTACTCCACCCTGACTCGCTCCCGACCATAGTAGACACTACAGCCGGAAGCGAGAGATTTCCCGACCAGGTCACGACGCTGCTCGGCCCAAGCTGGGCACTCCGCCAAGGTATGCAGCGCCGTATCGTCGCGGCAATCACCACAATGGCGGCAATCACCACAATGGTGGCACTGAGACGTCGGCTCCCGACCTATGCGACACAGGTACTTCCCGAAACACCCGTGTCCGGTAAGCACCTGCGTCAGCTGGAAGCTGAGGGCGCCGTGGCTCCTATTGAGCCACTCCTCTAGAACGGGCCTTACCGCCTCTATAGCGGCGTGCCCCGCCGTGGGTTGCGCTAAGCGCGTCTGCCACTCCGCCATTAAGGTCTGGCGGAGTTCCGCCCTGCGTGCCTCAACCTGTCCAGGCACCAGGCGCTCGCCCCGCTCGACTGCCTCCGCACGCCACCAATAGAGTGACGCGAGGAGCTTTGCGTCGAGGTCCCAGGGCGGGGATCCGGCTAGGAGGCTCGCTGCCTTAAAGGAGATCGTACGGTATCCCCTTATTATCCTGACGGCCATCGCGCGCTGTGGCCTTCGCAGCGCGGCGATGTTGCGAGCCGTCAGGGCTCCCGCCCACACTGGCGCGGCGTATAACGCCATCGACCGTACGACCCCCATGTAGAGCCTCCGGGAGGAGTAGATGGGCCCCCCCTGGTTGGGCAGCAAGCGCGACAAAGCAGCAGCGGCGCCCATCAACCGGGGGACGAGCCGTGTAAAGTGCGGCCCGAAATTCCACCGACTGTCGAGAACGAGTCCGAGGTACTTCATCGTGGACTCAACAGCGATGGAAACCCCTCCTACTATGATGCTGGACCCCTGAGGCGGCTTCATCCTCGGCCCATGAAAACACAGGGCCTCCGATTTGTGCAATGCCACCTCTAGGCCCAGCCGCCGGATCCTACCCACGACGTGCGCGACACCAGCAGTCGCGCGTATGGACGCCTGCCGGTACGACTTCCCACGCGCTGTAACTAGCGTATCGTCGGCGTAACAAATGACGCCGACGCCGTGGAGTAGCGCACCGCGCAGAGCCCAGTCGTAGCCAACGTTCCACAAGAGCGGCCCCAACACCGAACCCTGCGGAACGCCGCACGACGTCTCTCGCCGACCCCATCCTTCTCGACCCGGGTACACCATCGACCTGTCCGACAAATAGGCCCCGACAATGCGTTGGAGGTAGCGCGGCACCCCGTGATACCGGAGTGCCTCTCGGATGGTACTCCAGGGCAAGGTGTTGAAAGCGTTAGCGATGTCGAGCGACACCGCCAAGACCACCTCACCCCGGGCGACTGCCTCCTCTGCCAGGACCCTCACGCGCATGATCGCATCCACTGTGGAGCGCCCCTGGCGGAAACCAAATTGGTTGTCCGCCAAATCCGGCCCCACCCTGGTCATGTGCTGGACGAGGCGGGCGGCAATGATCCGCTCGAAGATCTTACACACCTCGTCCAGCAACACGATCGGCCTGTACGCAGATGGGGAGTCTGCGGGGCGCCCCGCCTTCTTCAGCAGGACCAGCTTTCCGGTCTTCCACCGGCTTGGAAACTGGCCCTGCTCCAAACATGCGCTTAAGAGCCCCGCTAGTCGGGGCCAGAGAGTTCTCAAAGCCAGGACCCATGCACGGCCTGGAATGCCGTCGGGCCCTGGGGCGGTGTTCTTGATGCGAGCCACCGCCACTCTCAACTCTACCCGGGTCACTTCGGGCACGTCGTCGTCAGTCTCGTTGTCCGCGTCGGACGAATCATGAGGCGGAACCATAGCCGGTGGTGTGTGCTCCGGTCTTGTCGGAAACAACCCACACACCACCTCCTCCAGCAGCTGCGGCTGGAGACTCCGGGACAGTGGGGGGGCCCATTGGCGCAACTTGCCCCGTACCATAAGGTAGGGGCGTCCCCACGGATCTCGGTCCAGAGTCTTCAGCAGCTCTGCATTGGCCTGGGCCTTTGCCCGGACAATGGCCAGCTGGAGAGCGCTTTTCGCCTCTCTGTAGTGGTTGTACAGTTCCGCCTCTTCCTGTTCAGCCGCCGCTGTAAAGGGGCGGCGACGTCTTCTTCGGAACCTTGCATACTGGCGTCGCACCTGCACACAAGTGGTGCGTAGTTGCGCAATCGACTGCGACCACCAGTATACTTGGCGCCTGGATGGTAGCGGCCGGACTCGGGGCATGCTAGCGTCGCAGATGTGCGACATGCTCTCCCGGAACCACTCTGCCTCATCGTCGATGTCACTAGGCCTGTCTGGAGAGTCCAACCAGGCCTTGACAATAGAAGCCTCCAGGAGAGCCTCCCTGTCCAGCCGCTTTAACGCCCAACGCGGACCATCTCCAACGCCCACCGGGGTCGCTTGGACCGGCCCAACCGAGGTCTGGGCAGAGACGCTGAATCGAATATATCGATGGTCAGACAGCGTCTCTACCTCCTCCAAGACGTGCCAGTCCTGGACAGTGCGTGCGAGAGTGGGGCTAGCAAAGGACAGATCCACTATAGACCCACCTCGCTGCCGCACGCACGTCTGCACGGAACCCCGGTTGAGGAGAAGCAGGCCCTGCTCGACCGCCCACTCCTCCACTAACTCGCCCCGTGCATCCGTAGCCGGGGAACCCCAAGCCGTAGATTTCGCATTGAAGTCCCCTAAAACGATCACGGGACGAGGATGGCTGCGACTGACGACCGTGCCCAGTTCTGAGATAATATCCTCCATGTCGGCGAGAGATAGGCTGGGGGGGAAATATACCCCCACGACCATAACGTTTCCCCAAACTGCCGCGACATAGCCCCGCCCTCGGGTGACGGCCTCGAAGGGAAGGGTGTCGGCGGCAGACCTCATAATCAGTGCCACCGAGCGGTTCGTGTCGCACACCCAGTCATCCCTGGGTGGAACAAAGTATGGCTCGGAGACAGCTGTGACGTCGATCGACCACTGCGCCATGCTCTGGAGCAAGAGATCCTGAGCCCTGGCGCAGTGGTTTATGTTGGCTTGGAGGAGACGACGTAAGGCCATTATTGAGTGTCCATGGCCGTTGCCTCCTCCCCAGCGCTCGGCGGATGATCTGCCGCAACCGGTGGGTGAACCGGCTGCGAC